CATCACCAGCTCCCCAGTGCTGACCCTCACCCCGCGGCCCCAGGACCACGGCACCAACCTCACCTGTCAGGTGACTCTGCCCGCGGTCAGTGTGACCAAGAGGACGACTGTGCATCTCAACCTTTCCTGTGAGAGCTGGGGGGGCGGAGGGGGGAGCAGGGCTGCCGGGAGAGGAGTCCCTGGGGGTGGGAGGAGGGGCTGCGTCCTGTAACCTGGGGTGGGGCAGGGGCAGGAGGGTGCAGCCCCACACCCCTGCAGCTCCTGGGGACAGGGATGATGTCCTTCAGCCTCACCACTGATGGTCCTGCCATGTCTTCCTGTCCTAGACTCTCTACAAAACCTGACAGTGACTGTCATCACCCAGGAAGCCAGCTCAGGTATAGGGCCTCCCTGGAGCTGGGGTGCATAGACCGGGTCCTCTTCAGCTTAGGCAGGGCCTGGTTCTCCTCACCCTGGTCACAGAGATCCCTTGTTGGGGGGCCCAATTGCTCCTCCCCATCCACACCCCCAACGGTCACTTCGAACCCCTACACCCAACAAGTCCCTCCCTCCCTTCCCCAGAACCTGACACAGACCCCTTAGCCCCACAAAGATGGGGACCTTTCACACAGTGGAACTGAACTTTCCAGGCCCTTCCTGAGGATCCACCCCAGCCGTTCTCTTTCTGCCCCAGCAGCTTTGACCCAAGTGCTGGAGGAAGGAGATACACACATACACACACACACACACACACACACACACACACAGAGTTTGGCCCCAGAAGTGACCCTGAGTACACAGGTTGTGCTGAGCCTTGGTCTGTCCCCCTGAGGGTCAAAGAGGCCATGGGTGTCAGCAGCATGGGCAGCCCTGGTTGCATGGATGGACCTGCCTCCGTGGGCCCCTCCTGCCAGTGGACAGCTGGGGCACTTCATTCTGCCGACAGAAATGCTGCAACGAATAGGTTGGACCTACTTCTGGAAGTGTGTGGTGTGTGTCTCATGGAATAGAGTCCTTCAAAGCAAGCTAGCTGGTTAGATTTCTCTCATTTTGAGAGGAACGGCAAGCTGGTCTCCACCATGTTGGTGTCCCCACCTTGAGGGGTGAGTGTGTTTTCCACTCTCTGCTTTGAACAGTGTGCTTCTTTCTATTGGCAGGGGCCGATTGCATTTGTTTTTGGAACTCCTGTTTATATTCTTTGCTCAGATTTTCAGAGTGATTTCACTTGTTCTTATGTTTGTCCCACAAAGCTCTTTCCAAGCTAGAGAAATTATCCTTTATTTCACACGTTGCCACTTGGATTTTTCTTGCAGTTCAGTGATTTGTACGGTGAACAAGGGCACACTGTGTTCTGTAGTCACACTGCTAATCCTCATCCATGGCTTCTGATTTGCCCACCCTGAGTTCATAAACACAAGCTCTTCCGGCCCGCCCTCCTGCAACGCCAACTCCACCCCACGTCTCCTCCCTCACCTGCTATCTCCATCTCATTAGCTGGTCCTTTCACTTTTCCTTGGATGTTCTCAGGCCTTTGCCATCTTTGCGTTCTCTGCTCCCCCTTCTGGAATCCCCTTCGCCCCTCACCATCACCTGACCTCCTGCAGTTTGACCTCCACACGTTACTCTGGGTGTGAGGTAAGCGCTCTTCCTCCACGAAGCCCTGCCAGACCGCAGATTTACGCTGTCTCACTCACATTGCCATCTCTGGGGCTGCTGCTGCCGAGTCCCCTCCATCACAGCTCATGCGGCCCTACCAACACCTGCCCAGAGCAGACTGATCAAGCGGTGACTGGGGCAGGGGAAGATGTGGGTAAAGGCCAAGAGCCTTCTGCATGAATCTGGCTCCTGAGCTGTCACCCAGAGCATCGGGGGAAGCTGGTGACTTGGCTGGGTGTCCTGGGAAGCCCCAGACCCTCCCTCTCTCCTGCCTGGGACCTGAGTCCAGTTAGACCCTTTGGGGTCTGAGCCAGGCCTCAGGCTCACGCTCACTCCCTGTCTCTGCTGATCACACTGGCATCCGTTCCTCTGTCTGTGTCTCTGTGTCTGAACCTACCTCGCCACTCAGTCTCCCTCTTTAGCTTTTCGTTTAACCACTTTGTCACTCTGATCCTCTGCATCTTCTCTGCAGCGCCCACAGCCCTGGAGAACGGCTCCTCCCTTCCTGTCGTGGAGGGCCAAGCTCTGCGCCTGCTCTGTGCGGTCGACAGCCACCCGCCTGCCAAGCTGACTTGGTCCTGGGGAAACCTGGTTCTGTGCCCCTCCCAGCCGGCGAACCCTGGGGTGCTGGAGCTGACTCCAGAGCACCTCAGGGGCGAAGGAGAATTCACCTGCCGAGCACAGAACCCTCTGGGCTCCCAGCACATCTCGCTGAGCCTGTCTCTGCAGAGTGAGTGTCCAGGGGCCACTTCCAAGCCCTGGGGTGGGAGGGACCTGCAGCTCCCAGGCCTCTGAGCTAACAGGCCCTGCAGCTCAGCAGTGCAGTAGGGTGTGCTCTGCTCAGTCTCAAGACAGATGCAGGACCCGGATGTACCTCTTGGCCGTGGGGCTCAGGGGCCTCTGATTCTTCCTGGGCAGTTGGAGTGCGGGGTGGGGAGTGGGGAGGCCTGGGCTGATGTGGTCCCACACTGAGGAATAAGGAAGCTCTGGGAGGTCCATATAAAGTGCTCACATGCGACTGAGATGGTGATTTAGCAAAGAAATCTAACCTCCCCCACTTTCCTGCAGGGCAGCCAGGACCCGTGGCAGAGGTGCTGCTGCTGGCCATCATGGAGGTGGTTGTCAAGGTCCTGCTTCTCGGGCTCTGCCTCATCTTGCTCAGGTGAGCACTGCCCGTGGATGGAGAGGAGGTGTGGGGAGGGCAGCCTGCCACCCCTGAACCCCAGATGCCCAGTGCTGGCAGATGCAGAGTTCAAGGGGAACTGGCACCAGGCTAGGGCTGAGTGAACGGCGAGAATTCCCAGGAGACTGTTGTATACCTAGCTCTGGCCTGATGTAGGGAGGAAGTCTGTCGAATTGCGGAGGTCTGGGGACTGGATTTCCTCTCTCTCTCTCTCTTTCTCTCTTTCTCTCCCTCTTTCCTTCTCTCTCTCTCTCCTTTTCTCTCTCCCTCTCTCCCTCTGTCTCTCTTTCTCTCTCTTTCTGCCCCCTCCAACCCCTTAACAGGGCACAGGTGAGGTGCCCATGCCCACTGCACCCCCAGTGCCCACACTGAAAAGCCCTGGTCTCCTCACTCAGAGTGAAGTCTCAGAAGAGGAAGGCACCCAAGGAGGAAGGCATCCTTTGTGCAGCAGAGATGCACACTGTCCTACGTCAGCCTCTCAGGTGAGTGGCGTGCTGGCTCGGCACCCCATATCCCTCCAGATTCCTCCCCCGCGATGTCCCCAGTTGTCTGACTCATCACAGCCACAGGTCAGTCACCCATCACCATTCTGAGCCCAGTTCTTTTCCGTGAGGGTTTCTATGATGCTCGTGGCTCGGTGGTCCCTTCTCTAAGCCGGGAGCGAGTGTGGCTCTCCACTGGGAACCGTCTCCCTCTTCCCCATACTATAAATTACGTACTGGTCCTTCTTTCCTGCTAAGACTCGCTCACCTTGACTCCCTTTCTCTATCCCGACCCTGGTCATTCCTGGTCCTCACCGAATCCACCACACTCACTCCTGCCTCATCTCTCCCATCGTCAGCCTCTAGGATGTGTTTGCAGACAGTCAGAGTCCACTTCCTCCACAGTCCACTCCATGGAAAGAGATGGGGTAGACGCCATGCCTGGACCAAGCCTTGCATGCCCTGTGCCCTGCTGGACTCTCCTCCAGCGCCTCCTCCTCATGATTGGTGAAGTTCTCACCACAGGCACCGTCCAGATTCTCCTGAACCTGAGACTTTGCACATGCAGTTCTCCTGGAGATGCTTTTCCACTCTTTCCTGCCCATTCAAGAGCGGGTGACCCTGCAGGCTCAATTAAGAGTGTGTGCATGTAATCCTTGGGTATGATTCTGGGTGGGGGAACACTGTTTCTACTATTTATGAACTACTTTGATAACTAACACTGAGCTCCTACCATGCACCAGTGTTTTCCTGGGTGCCAGGTATGCCTCAGTGCCCTTGTCATTGAGGAACTGTCATTCTAGAGATAAGAGGAATAAGAATTTAAAGAAAAGAAATGATCAATTAGGAGCTAGCATGTGTTGACAGGTGCCTGTAGAGAAATCATGCAGGGAGAGGATCTGGTGACATTGGGGTTCGTCTCTGTGCCTGACAGTGTGAGGGGTGATGTTTGAGCAAAGACTGGGAGGTAGCTGGGAAGCAGGATCTGTGTTTCTGTAAGAATTATCTCAAGGGCTAGGGATATATCTCAGTGGCACAAGCGCCTGCTTGGCAAGCGCAAGGTCCTGAGTTCAATTCCTGGTACTTAAAAAAAAAGAATTATCTCAGGAAGAGGGAAAGGGGAACAGCAAATGCCACTGCCCAGAAATAGGCCTTGTGAGTTCTGCAAACAAGGGCCTGTGATTTAGGACAGGGGAAGGCAGAAGACCAGAAAACAGCAAAGAGGAAGTCACAGACTGTTGGGGCTCTGTGAGATGAGGCAGAACCCACAGAGGGGGCAAAGCCCTGACTGCACTTACACTTTGCCATGATCCCCAAGGCCACTCTGGTCACGAGCCAGAAAAAGTGCTGGCGGCAAAAGAGAGAAGGGTGTGTTAGTCAGTCAGCTTTCCACCACTGTGACAAAATACCTGAGATAAATAATTTACAAAGACGGGAAGTTCATTGCAGCTCATGGTTCCAGAGGTTTCAGCCCATGGTCACTTGGACCCACTACTTTGGGCCTGTCGTGCTGTTAGGCAGTAGTTAATATGCTTTGCCAATTGTCGTTAAATAAGTAAAGACCTCAGCATGTGATACATTTATGATTATCTGTTAGATCACAGACCTATGCAGCACCATGAGACCTTATGGTCAGACAGTGAGACATGGCCAATCTGAAACACAGGGTGGCTTATTCTTAACACCAGGCAGCCAGACATTCAGCATTCCTAGTTGCTATGGCCAACAGCTGAGTGACAACAAAAATGAGAGAAAAAGTAGCGTTTGAAGACCCATCCGTGGTACTGGTATTGAACAAAGTCTTGACTCTTGACTTAATCTTCTTACTTGAGGCTGGGGCTATAGCGAAGTGGCACAGCACCTGCCTGGCGAGTGTGAGGCCATGAATTTGTTTTGTTTTGTTTTGTTTGGTTTGGTTTTTTTCTCTGGTACCGGGAACCGAACTCACGACCTTGCGCTTGCCAGGCAGGCGCTTTGCCGCTAAGCTAAATCCCCAGCCCCCCATGAATTTGATTTCTAGTACCACATTAAAAAAATTTCTTAAGTTTTTTGGGAAATATTTTATATAATTAAATGCTCTGGGACAATAATGTGCTTCAGAGAAAAGGCTGACCATCTGAAGAGAACAAATAATATGTTTCACAGCAGTAAAAGATCGACATTCCAAGGTAACTTCTAAGACAAAATCAGCATGATCAGCATGGAACAGAGCAGCGCTAATCACTACAGTTGCCTATGCCCCGATGTGACAGTCCCATGGACAAAATGCCTCTCTGTGCCACTACCTCCTTGGCTTTCGTCCACCCTGACTCATAAGATTCACGTCTGCTTTGTGCTGCTGCTTTTTCATTCTTTGCAATAAGTTGCGCCTTTACTTTTGCAACTTTCTCTGTCTTGACTAAAGTCCTTCATCAACCACAGAAGGACCAAGGAATCCTCCCATCAGGCTGCTAACAGCGCTGTGGTGCATCATGGTGGCAGCACACGGCTCAGGTCTGTTCGCCTCTTGGCAGTAGAAGAGCAGAAACAGATAGGAAGGCACCAGAGTCCTAGTGTCTCCTGCAAAGCTCCTCCTCCAGTGACCTACGCTGTACCACTAGGAAAAGTTGATTTTGACTCACAGGTCTGGATGTTTCCGTTCATGGCCCTGGGCCCCGTTCTGGCAGTGGAAGAACATGATGGAAGAAGAGCGTCCACTTCCGGGCAGCCAGGAAGCAAGGAGAGGAAAGAGGGGCTGAGATCCCAAGATCGCCTTCAAGGGCCGCCCCCAGAGTCTTAACCTGTTCTCAGTGGGCTCCGCCTCCTACGGGTTCCACCACCTTCCAACAGCCCACGGGCTGGGGACCAAGTTTTCAACATATGGGCCTAAAGGGGAACCTTCAAGATTCAAACTACAGCTACGGGAAGCGGGAGATGGCTGCTCCCCGAGGAGGCGAGATGGCGTGAGGCAGGGAGGCAGGGAGGGTTGAGGATGTATCTGATAACTGTGGAGGCTCAGGCCAACAGCGTTCTCATGGGCGTGGTCAGTAAGGGAAAGACAACAGTGAGACCGATGCAGAGCGTTTCTCTGAGCTCCCGGAAAGCTGGAGTCCGTTCCATGGATGCAGGGAGATGGGTCCAGGCTGCAGTGTTATGGAGCACAGCTGGGGTGAAGGGGAGCCCAAGGGAGAGGTGAGAAGGAGGGGCTCACAGTGCAAGGGGAAGGGGAGGCTTGTCGCTGATGACCTTCGTAACAACAGCTTTTTATTAATCCCAATCATTTATTTGAATCACCCTTGAATATGTTCAAAAATTAGCTCCTGCTCATCAGGGTACAGTTGAAAAATAAAAATTTTATATGTTTATGTTGTGTGGTGCAATTTTGTATAGATACTTATTCTGGACCTTACTGTTTTATTGACCAATAGAAATGACATACAATGATGGTACACACTATAATATTTCAAAATGCATTTGCACTGTGAAATTAAAGCAGGCTAAGTACCGTATGAATTACCTTGCATATTATGGACACCGCTGCATTTTAAAATAACACACCCCACATCCATGAAAAGATTGCTTTACATCCAGTACTATTTTTTGTCTGATGCTTTGTAATGATAATATTTGAAATTTAGTCTCATGCAATTTTGAAATGCACAATACATTATGATGAGCTGTAGGCAGCATGCTATACAGAGCTCCAGGACTTACACCTCCTGCCTAACTGCAACTTGACTCGTTTCCTTAACCTCTCGGCATGCTCCTCCCACCACCTTGCCTCTGGCCAGCACCTTTGCACTCTTGCTGTTAGGAGTTTCAATTTTTCAGACTTAAAATGATACAATGTGCTATTTGTCTTTCTATGCCTGGATTATTTCACACAGCATAATGCCCTCCAAGTTCATCTATGTTGTTGCAAATAGCGGTGTGTCCTTCTCTACGGATTCATAATCACTCTGTGTGTGTGTGTGTGTGTGTACACGCGTGCACACATGTGTATGTGAATTTTTCTTATCCAATCACCATTCAAGGACATATAGTTGATTTTATACCTAGCTATTGTGTGCTGCCACGAAAATGGGAATAATAATGGATATGGGAATGCAGGTATTTCTTTGAGATGTTCATTTGAGTTTTTTACTATAGGCACCAAAAACGGAATTGACTGTCTATATCAAAAATGGAGCAAGATAGTTCAGCTTTTTCAGAGATCTTCTTACTGTTTTCTACAATAGCTATACTAATTTACACTCCCAGGAAGAGTGTACAAGAGTTCCTTTTCCTCCACCTCTTTGTTATCTTTGCATATCTTTCTCTTTAGGATAATAGCTATGAGGCCAATGTTATGTCTTTCTGAAATTCAAAGATTGTACTATACAGTTCTCTGTTGTGGAATTGCAACACTTCATTTGGAATTTCTGCTTTGTTCCTGTGTACAGTTCCTGCACTGGTCAACTTGTGCTCTGTTAGCAAATGTACCTTTTTTTGTTTTTTTTTTCCAGTACCAAGAATCGAACTCATGACCTCATGCTTGCCAGGCAGGTGCTGTGCCACTGAGCTAAATCTCCAGACCTAGCAAATGTAACTTCAGTTGGAAACCAGTAAATCCAGGTCAAATGTCACATTCTGGTTAGTCTGGGAGATGGGAGCAACAAGTCTGTTCACGATATCATTCAGTTTATTACTATACAAATAAGAACCAGATGGCTCATTTCCAGGATAAGTGTCTAAACTGAAACAATAATAACTCTTTGTATCTACAATGGCATAAATGTTCATATCACATTTTGACACACTGCTTTTCCATAAGTCTTTTACATTCCTGCGATCACCATGAGAAATCCGTGCTAAGTATAGCAGACCCGTGAATGCTTTCAATTTAGCTAGGGAGTTGTCATAATAAATACATTTTTCATATGGCTATTGGTGCATACGGAAGGTTTTACTTGCACCTCAGCCTTTGTGTATTTCACAGCATCTTGTAGCATTTTTGTCCATTACAGTTTCCAACACTGAATGGCAGTGCTGGCATTCTGTCCAATACATTACACCCCTGACAAGAACTTCACTGTATTTTCTGACTGAATTCTAACATTGGATCATTGCATTTGGCTGTATGGCCATTTCACATTTGACTAGTCATATATGTACTCACATCAGTATTTTCTTCATCTGAACCAAAGAGATCTGCATTCCCTGTGTCAATTCTTGCTCCATTTTGCTGTCACAGGAACTGTGGCTGACATGTCCAGTGTCAAAGTCATCATCATCATCGTCATCATCATCATCATCATCATCATCCACCCACACCACTCTTCCATTATGAAAGCATGTATTTTACCATAATGAATCATCTTCATCATCCATGCATGAGTAGTCTGATGACTTCACTTTTGACCTCCTCCACAACTTGCAAATCAGGTTTTTCATGTCCCATTGTACTGAATTGGGCTACTTCTAACAGAAAAATCAAAAGAAAAAATTTTTAACAAATCCTGGAGTACTTTGGCCTGTTGGATCCTCTGCAATGCTCAGGTGAACATATGCAAAACCAATTAGAGTATAAAGGTGGGTCCAAATCCCAGTTTGACACTTGTGTACATGTGCATACTCCTTGCTGTTGGTCATACTAAGTGGGTAAACACACAGATTGCTTCCTGTATCCCTCAAGAGAAGGTACTAAGACAAAGTACTACTGGCTACTATAATGCTAAAGTACAAATTTACAGTAGAAAAGTAAGGGATGGGTCTGCTGGACCCAAGTTTATGCCTCAAGGGTTTTAAAACAACACTGAAATTCCATCTCACTCCAGGAAAAATAACTATTATCAAGAAATCAACCAATAACAAATTGGTTGAAGGGGCCATGGGGAAAAATGAACCCTTCTCCACTGGGGGTGTAGACTAGTACAACCACTGTCAAAATCAACATCGAGATTCATCAAAAAACTAGGATTAGAGGTCCCATTTGACCTAGCTATTCCCTTTCTCAGGATCTTCCTGGAAAAATTTAAAACATCATACAACAGTATTCTAAACACCCCTGTTTAGAACAGCACAGTTTGTAATGCACACCCATGTTTAGGGCAGTACAAGTCTAAAACTTGGAAATAACCCAAATGCCCATCAACTGAAGAATGGATAAAAAAGATGTGGGTTTTTTTTCATACAATGGAGTACTACTTTGCCATAAAGAAGGATAGACTTAAGACATTTCTAGGTAAATGGATGCATTTTGAGACCATACTCTTAAGTGAACTAAATCATACACACAGGTGTAGATATCACATTACCTCCCTGGTGTAAGAAACTGAAAGAGTAAATGAGGACCAAATTGTATAATAGATATTGTGAAATAGGAAGAAATTGTTCAAATGGAAAGATGACCAAGGGATGGGGGAGGGGGAAAGGAAGGTAGGGAAAAGAAAAAATTATAAAAGAAGGATAAAATGGAAATAAAGCTTTGTAAATAAAGAAGGGGTGAGGGGTTGAAGGGGGTTGGGGAAAAAGAGGAATCAAGACATATCATCTACAGTTGCAAATTCCTTATGATGAATATGATCATTATGTATATCTAAATTATACCAACAAAACTTGATTAAAAAATAAAGTCGTACTAAATTAAGCTGTGAAAAAAAGAACAAAGTACATGGGTAGACATTTCTACAAGGATATCAAAATGGTCATCCGGCACATGACAAAATGTTCAACGTCAATCATTATTAGAGAAATGCAAATGGATCCACAATATTATATTGTACATCTGAAATAAATGCAGTAAAAATGAGATTCCACTATGTATCCATGGGAAATGTTATTTTTTAAAAATGATAAAGTACAAGTGTTGAGGAGGATGAGAAGGAACTGGAACTCTCAGCATTACTGCTGAGAATGTAAAATTGTACAGCTGCTATGGAAACAGCACAGTCCTTCCTCAAAAAATTAAAAGTAGAATGGTCATGTCATCAAGCAGTTCTGTTTCCCACATAGAACTCAAAGAATTGGAAACAGGGACTTGAGGCAATTTTTATGCATCCATGTTCATAGCAGCACTATTCCCAAAAGCTAAATGCGGGGAGCAACCAAAGTGCCCATGAATAGATGCACAGGTAAACAAAATGTGTTACATAAAAGCAATGGATCTTATTCAGCATGTGCTGCATGAAGGAGGGGCCCAGAACAGGAGCAATAAGTCAGTCACAAAAACCCAGGTAAGTGTATGAGCCCATTCATAGGAGGTACCTTGAGTGGGCAAATTCTCAGGAAGGAAGTAGAATGGTTGTTTCCAGGGGCAGAGAAAGCAGATACCCTTTATGAGCACAGAGTCCCTCTCTGAGAGAGGGAAGAGTGGATGGGGGTGAGGGCTGCACGACAATGTGAGTATCGTTAATGTCGCTGACCTGTACATGTGAAACAATTAGAATGGTAAACATTTCCCATTCATCTTACCATAGTCCCTACAAAAGTAACCAAGTATTTGACCATTTATGTCACCAGAGAAAAAAATGAATGACTAATAACAAGATAACAACATGTTCAACATCATTTACCATGACGAAATTACAGGTTAAATTCAGATACTACAGGTTAGCAGCACATACTCATTAGAATGGCTCAAAACACAAAGATAAAATTTAAAAATCCTACTCATGCCAAATGCTAAAAAGGATATGCAACAAATATATGGAGCACGTAAAATGTTATGAGAATTCGGAATGGTACAACCACTTTGGAGATGCGTTTGGAAATTTCATATACATATAATCTTACACTTGCCATTTGATCAGGCAACCTCCTCCTACGTATTTACCCAAGTGAAATCCAAACATGTCCACACAAATACCTGCATGTCCTGTTTATGGCAGCTTTATTTCATAGTCACCAAAACTAGAAAAAAAATCCAAATGTTCCTCAGCCTGTCAGTGGATACAAAAAGACGGTTCCTGGGAACAGTGAGGTGCCTTCAGTAATTAAAAGGAACCCGTGGTGACATACACCCCATCACACAGATGACCCCCAACACATTATGCCACGTCAGTGCACCACGCTGTAAAGACTGCACTGAGTAAGATGGAAAATGACGTGAGCCAAAGCTCGCCCAATTTTTTTTATACAATCATCTGCTATTGGCTTAAAATGTGTCTTCTGAGGCACATTTATGTGTGGGAAGCAGATCTGCAACATGAAAGGAAGAACTGGCCTGTAAGATGTGGATAGACGGACAATCATTGCAGTCCATGCTACCCGAATGGCAGGAAAGTGGAGAAGTTTCCTCTGCAATAAAGAACGTGTACCCTCTTCTGTGCCACATGAGGATGCTGCACGGATCTTTTTCTGGAAGTGTCACTGACACACTGGGAATCAGTGTAGGCGATGACAGAGAAATAACGCCATGCTCAGAATTTGTCAAAATATCTAGTAAGTTGCCATGCCATGTGCCAAACTTATAGATAGCTCCTGTGTCTGGTGAGGTCCTGAGGCTCTTGCGCTGTGGTCCCTGCTTGTCCCCATCCCCACTAATGCTATAGCTTGCTGCAGGTTTGCTGAATGAATGAATAAATGAATGAATGGAGTCAGTGAGTAGATGCTGTCTTCTCTTAACCTAGGACCTTTCCTCACTCTAGCTCACACAGACTCTACTAAACCCTGCATCCTGCAGAACCCACCACCCCACAAATCTCCTCTGCCAGGCAGGCAGTACCTGGTTTCTGGTGAAAAAAAGAAACTTAACCAGAAAAGCAACTCAGATGGGGAAGAATTTAGACTCTCACCTGTGCTGCATGCCCAAGATGTCCCCAGGGTCCTGGCCCAGGCCCAGATTCTGAAGGAAGTTGTTATGGCTTGCGTCTAGAGGTCCTTCAAAAGTTCACGCAGTCATAGGTGGGGCTATTTCAGGGGTGGCTGGATTTACAGTGTGTGATGCTGGGATGGATTCATGGTGCTAGGCTCTAGGGCACTAGGATTAAAGGTATGGGTACTATCCACTCTAAGTACCCTGGATAAACTAAAAGGGGAAGAATGATGCTGTTTAGGTCCCTTGCTGTTTTGCTACCTTCCACCCACCATGAACTGTTCCCTTGTGCGATGCCACCCTGCCTTGGAGCCACCCTGCCTTGATTATGGACTGAAATCTCTACAAACTGTGAGCTAACTAAGCCCTTCCTCCCTTAATGCTGGACATTGGGTATTTTGTCTCAGCAACAAGAGAAAAGTAACTAAGACAGAAGTGCTTGACTTGTGGACAGGAGGTGGCCTCTGCTTCTTTTCTGCTCTCTGAGTAGCTCTCTGGGTTTCGGTCCTTTCCGACAGAAGGGATCAACCCCAAACCCATATAGGTCTAAGTTCCTCTTCTATAACCCACTGAGGTCTCACGCTTCTCCCCAACTTGCATGGCTCACAAAGCATTTCCCTTCCACACAGATCCTTCTCAGTGCACTCCCAAGAGCCTGAAGTCTCCAGCTCTAAGATGCTTCCACCTCTGCTGCTGCCCCTGCTGTGGGCAGGTGAGCGAGCACAGGGGGAAGGGCCACTGGGCTGGGTCAAACTGACCCCTGTTTTTCCACAGGATCCCTCGCTCATATTCTAGGACCCCAGCTGACAGTGCCACAGTCAGTGGCGGTGCAGGAGGGACGGTGCATCTTCATCCCCTGCCGTGTCTCCTACCCTGAGAGAGGCTGGAGCAACTCTACCCCAGCTTGGGGCTACTGGTTCAAGAAAGGGGCTGAGAGTTCTCAGGATCCTCCAGTGGCCACAAATGACCCACATCATGAGGTGTTGGAAGAGACAAGAGAACGATTCCATCTCCTCGGAGACCCCGAGACCTACAACTGCTCCCTGCGCATCAGAAACGCACAGAAAAGGGACACAGGAGTCTACTTTTTTAGGGTGGAGAGAGGGAGTTATGTGCTATATAATTACATACACAACCAGCTCTGTGTGTTTGTGATGGGTAAGGAATGAGGTTCAGAAGGCCACAGAGATGGGGCCTGAGGGCCCCAGGGCAGGGTGGGGATGGGATCCCCCGCTCCTCCTCCTGGGGGGCCACGGGGACAGAACACCGGGCCTGCTTGGGGGAGGTGGCTCGCCTGAGGCAGAAGCCGCTCTGAGGGCCACCCTCGGGGTCCCCTCCAGGGCTTGAGGGTCTGTCTGTCTCCTCCCCAGCTCCAACAGAGACCCCTGACATCCACATCGTGGGGACCCTGGAGTCCGGTCACCCTGGGAACGTAACCTGTGCGGCGCCATGGCCTTGTGAGCAGGGGACGCCCCCCACTTTCTCCTGGATCGGGGCGAACCTCACTTCCGCGCTGGGCCCCGAGGCTGCTCGCACTTCAGTGCTCACTGTCACCCCACGGCCACAGGACCATGGCACCGACCTCACCTGCCAAGTGACTTTCCCTGGGGCCAGTGTGACAGTGCAGAGGACCGTCCAGCTCAGCGTGTCCTGTGAGTGCTGGGCCAGGACATACAGGGCCCAGGGAGGAGAGGGACAGGGGCTGGGAGAGGCCGGGCCTGGGGTCCAGACACTGTTCTGGAGGCACAGCTGGGGTCAGATGAGAGCCTCCGGGCCCACAAGCTGCCCCAGGCCACCCACCCCCAGTCAGTGACTGGTTTCTGTTCCAGATGCTCTGCAGAACATGTGCCTCCGTGTCTTCAGGGCCAACAGCACGGGTAGGGAAACCCTCACCTACGGGGCTGTTCAGGGGGTGGGTGTCTCCATCTTTCTGCCAGATGCTTTCCAGTGTCACCGTGCATTCCTGTGACCACTCGCGCTCACGTGCCGTAGCTTCCTGAGTGCTGCTCTCTCTCCTTTCTCTCTCCTGTGCCTCCCTCCCTCCATACTCTCCAGCATCTCTCTGACAGCACCATCTCTCTCTCCCACAAGAAGCCTCCGTCCATGAGCTCCCACAGCTGGGCCCTGGGCCTCTGGCTTCTCTCTGCCTGTCTCTCCAGTGGGGGTTCCAGTCCTGCTTCTGCTCCAAAGACTCTCATAAACCTCTGTCTCGGCCTGCCTCTCCTGAGCACACTTCCTCTCTTCGGGGGAGCCCCTCCCCCTGAGTTACTGAGTCCATATCCTGGAAGCCGCTTTAGACCCCGGGCTCTCACCAGACAATGCAAGTCTGTGAGTTCTGCAATCTTGACTTCTGGAAAACGTCTCTAACCACTTCCTTCCTCCATCCGGGCCTTTCTCACCGGGACCTGCTCCAGCCTCCCCTCTGACCCACCAGCCCTCGAGTAACCTGGACACTGTTTGGACCCAAGGGCATTTCTCTGTCACCCAGATGTGACCCTGTCCCTGCTGTGCTCAGAGCAGCCCCACAGCTCCCCCAGGAGGAGGCCCAAAGCCACCGCCTGCTGTGGCTCCTCGAAGAGGTCAAACCTGCCTGAGTTAGCGTGAATCGTGGTCTTGCACGTCAAGGTCCACTGTCCTGGCCTGTCACCCTTGCGTGTTGGTGTGCCGCCACTTCTGCACATCTCTGTCCAGCTGTGCTGGGGTCTTACGCTCCCTCCACCCACGTTTCCGTCGCACGGGTCCTCGCCGCTCCTCGCCCTCACTTGCAAGGCTCGCTCAGAGGCGCCACTTTCCGTCCCCACCTCTGAGGGAGGACACAGAGAGAGAAGCGTCCCTCAGCCCTGCCCCCTGGTTCGCTGCCTCCTTAGTCCCACAGCTGCTGGGAAACAACACCACCTTGCGAGTCCGGGAGGGCCAGGCCCTGCGCCTGGCCTGTGATGCTCACAGCAGCCCTCCAGCCAAGATGAGCTGGGCACAGGGAAATCTCACCCTGAGCCCCCCACAGACCTTGGCTCCTGGGGTCCTAGAGCTGTCCCGGGTGGCTGCAGGGGATGGAGGAGAATTCACCTGCTGGGCTCAGCACCCTCTGGGCTCCCGCTCGTCTCCCTGAGGCTGGCTCTGCAGGGTGAGCATGAGCCGTACACCTGTGTTCAGAAGAGTGTCGTGGGGAAGAGACCCAGACTCCTTCTCCCCCCTCTTCCTCTCCCAGGTGCCTCCCGTTCCTGCCCCCAAATCTGTGGGGAGCAGCAGGGCCACTGGCCTCTAGTCCTCACCCTACTCAGGGGGGCCCTCATGGGGACCGGCTTCATTCTAACCTATGGCCTCACCTGGCTCTCCTACACCAGGTGAGCTCAGATGTCCTAAGTTTTCAGCCCCCAAATCCCCGAGTGTCTTCACCCATCCTGTCCTCCTGGACCAAACTTTCCACAGCAGGAGACTCTCATCTCAGCACTGTCTCCCCCGCAGGTGTGAGGACTCCTGGGGCACAGGGCCTCACAGAGAAGCTGAGGGTCTTCCTCACAGCAGGGCTCAGGTCCGGGCTGCAGGTCTCTAACAGGTGAAGAAGACCCACCAGGCCTCTCTGTGCTGGGACTCAGCCCTGCCCAGGGCTTCGGAACAAGGTGTTGGCTTGACTCCGCGTGCTCTCCAAAAACAGATTCTCATCACCCTCACCTCTGGCCTCTTCCTTTGATTCGAATGGAATGGTTGGGAGGGCTGCTGAGGAAGTAGATTGTCTTTACTACTATGAATTATAATATATATATAGTTTTTCTTGTGTGTAGCTACTCTCATGTGATTTTGATGAGCCCATAATTCAGTCTTATATTTTTTATTAATACCATAATATATTTCTCTGTAAGTTCATCAAGTATTAAAGAGTTTTTTGATTAGAAAAATGAACTATTTTGTGTTCAGTCACACAGCAGCCATCTCCTCCATCCTCTGTACCCTCGAAGACACCAGGATCCCTGGTCTGTGGGAAGCTCAGGGTGCAGTGTCCCTGTGCCCTGCTCATCTCGGCTGGGTGGTTAGTGTCGGCATCACAGACCAGGCCCATTTCCATTGCTCTTCGTTCCTTGGTGCACATCCAAATTTCTCCAGAGCATCATTTTCCTTTACTTGAAGATCTTATGCATTTCTGATAGGATAGGTATATTGATGAGACACACTCTCAGCTGTTGTTTATCAAGAAATGTTTTTATTTCCTTTTGTCTCTGAAGGAAATTTCATTGGAATTAGAATTTATATGGATTTGGGGCTGGGGATTTAGCTCAGCGGCACAGCACCTGCCTGGCAAGCTCAAGGTCCTGAGTTTGATTCCAGGTACCAGAAAAAAAAAAAAAATAAACCAAAAAAATAAAAGAAAAAAAAGAATTTATATGGATTTCTAGGTTAACATTTTCTTCCATTCTGTACCTTAAAATTTGTTGACTTCCATAATTTCCTATAAGAAATCCACTTTAATTATCTTTTTACTTCTTTCTTCGTAGTTTGTTTTTCTCCGGTTGGTTTTAATTTTTATCACTAGCTTTCGATCATTTGATTATTATGAGTCTTTGTGTGGGCAAGGGTGTGTGTGAGAGAAAGGTGAGGGAAGGAGGGAAGAAAAAATAGATTATTCTATTTGGGCTTAGCTAAGTATCTTAGATCTGTGGATTTATACTTTTCATCAATTTTGTGAAAAATTGAGACTCAGCTTTACATGAATATATTTTTTCAGTTTCTCTTCTCTCTGAATGGTGCATATGAACTGCTGGGTTTTTATTTCTTTAAAGAGAATTGGTCTTTTTGCTTACAACAGTTAAGTTACCTGCAAGTTTAGTTCATCTTTTTCTTAAGGTTCTCTAAATTTTGTGCTCTTCTGTGATAGGACAAATGTGTGTGGGGCTTTAGTTTAGGGCTACTGCAGTCCCATTTCAACGCTGTGGCCTGTAGGGGGAGCTATTAACTGACCCTGTATATTCAAAGAGGTATATATATATGTTCCCTCTGACAGTCCAGAATGCCCGCTTTAATATATGGTCCGGTGATTTTTCAACCAGGGTACAAAATCATTTAGTGGAAAAGAATGATTTCCTCAACAAATGATGTGCATAGAACCGGTCAGGCTGACGTTGCTGGCATCTCAAAATATGCCAAAGAGAGGGCTGTGTTTCCAGTTTCCAATCAGAAAATGAAGGCATCATGGAAAAGTCTAACAGAGAGGATAATTAGACAAGATCAGGCTGAGGAAGTAGCTCATGGGTAGAGTACTTGCCTACTATATCAGAGGCCCTGGGTTTGATCCCACACACTGAAAAAATAAGGACAAACAGAAGATCTGAGCATGCACTCCACTCCATTCTGTTCTTTGGCCTGAACTTGAGGAAAATAAGAGCTGACACTTCACACTCATGAATGATGTGACCTCCTCTGTCATCAATGCACATGGAGTGGGAACTCACCCCATAGGAATCACCCAAATTATGTCCTATCAATGAAACAGAGAAGCTGATAAAGTCAAATTGTGGAACAGCTTACAAGAAACAAATGTCAACACTGACCAATCAACAAACACATCAGTGTCATGTGGCCAGAGACCGTGAGGCACGGAAGGCACTGCAGAAGGTCCCCACCCGCGGTAGCGAGGGACAGAGGGTGCACACCACAGAAACCATGGCGCGAATCACCAAAAAACCTCCTACATTGTTCACCAGAGGACTTGGGCTTAGGGTACTGCCTTGGGGAAAGTGTGAAGGAAGAACGGTTTTCTCTGGATTGGACATCGGGAAGCCAGGGCTTTCTATCACTGGATTCTTTAATAACCCTTATCTAGAAAGAGGAAAATGAGACCAAGGTCGTCTTAGTTTGGGCTATATCTTAGGCCATTTCAGTTGCTAATAGGATTATGCTGTGCACTGAGAGAGTTCCAAAGAACAGAGGTTTCCATTGGCTCATGGCTCTGGTCTGAGGTGGAGGGGCCACCGC